CCATTTGCCACCCCTCTCAGGGCCAGTTTGGCACTAATGGCTGCCAGGTTTGTAAAATCCTTTCAGGAGAGACCRTGGCTCACAGAAGTCAATTGGAGTCTTTTGGTACCTGGGATTTAGACAAGACCATTAATCTCCTTTTGAGGCTAAAGTCATCCTAGCTGGATTTCTGCTCAGGTCAAAGCTCATGCAGTAAAGTGAGCAGAAAACCCCAATGAACATAACATCAAGCTCAGAGTGATTACTGCTAAAATAGAACCGAAAATAATTCACTTTCCCCATTTCTAAGGGTTTTTTTTTTTGCATGTCTTTTCTCTTTAATGCCAGCTGGCAGAGGGTTTCTCCTTCTTATTTGTCTCATGGCTGATGGCAGCTCTGCCATCAACAGCAGCCCAAATCCTTTAGGCAGAGGTACCAGTTCCACTATTTTTTGCTCCCAAAATACAATGAGTGTGTGACAAAAACTGACTCAGAATGACCTCACTCCAGACCTGCCCATCTCCCACATCCCACATCATCAGGACTGACTGATTTGGAATCAGTGAGCCAACAGCAGATATTAGCATTTGGTTACCTGGTAACTCTTATTCGATCAATACATGCCCTGCATTTAAGGTCCCAGCCACAGGATGAACAAAACAAATTAGATAAACCTCAGGTGGAATAAACCTAATGGCTATGGGACGTTTCTAAAATAAAAATGCATGTTGAATCACAAATAATAGCTTGGCTGCAGTCTCAGGAGTCTAATTATGAAATGGATGTGGAATCATTCTATAATTATTTAGAAAGTTCATTTCAGCAGCCAGAAATTCTCTCTCTGTTTACTATATATCATCACAAGTCCTCTGTGGTTATTTGTAACATCTACCCGGAAAGATACATGAAAAAGAGGCAATTTTAAGAAATTGAGGCAGGTCCGTGCCTTTTATAAGTCAATGGATTCACACCAGGGATGAATTGAGACCAGATTCCTCAACAGAATTAAATCATTTYCAGTCAGTCCAAGCAGAGCAGAGATTGCTGTGCCCTGCAGCAGGGATGTTCACACCGTAATGTAAAACCCTACAACACTTCTGCTCAGGGCTTCTATCTTTGCCATAAAAAAAAAAGCCAGTTCAAAACCAGTACAAACCTGTACACACTGTGGATTTTAAACTGGTGCCACAGCTCCAGGAAGATGATCATCACTKGGATTGACAGCTACATGCTCCTCCTATACTCAGTGCTGGTGAGGCTGCACCTTAAATCCTGTGTTCAGTTTTGGCCCCTCACTACAAGAAAGACATCGAGGGGMTGGAGCCASTCCAGAGAAGGGCAACAGAGCTGGGGAAGGGTCTGGAGCACAAGTGTTATGAGGAGTAGCTGAGGAAGCTACTGAGGAGCTCCACTTTAGACTGGGAAAAATGAGGCTTGGGAAACCATATCATTCCCTACAACTACCTGAGAAAAGGTTGGAGATGGGAGGTGTTGGCCCCTTCTCCCAATTAACAAGAAACAGAGTGTAAGGAAATGGCCTCAGATTGCACTAGGGGARGTTTAGATTGGATATAAGGAAAAGTTTCTTCACCAAAAGGCTTGTGAAGCACTGGAACAGACTGCCCAGGGAAGGAGTCACCGTCCCTGGRGGTGTTCAAAAGGTGTTTAGATGTGGCACCTGGGGACGTGACTTAGTGGTGGCCTTGGCAGTTAACAGTTGGACTCACTGACTTTAAAGGTCTTCTCCATCYTGAACTATTCTGTGATTCTACATCTGAAAGAATAGCCATGGCTCTGCCTTCAGGAGTGAGTTCTGTTGTGATGGATTAAGTGGCCACACACAATAATATCACCCCAAATCTAATTTTTACAAAGGTTGGCAATCCAGGCCCACRGGTCCTGGATGAATGTCCCAGGTCTGCCTACCTGCATCAAAGGGGTACTTGCAGATCTGTGTGATCATGAAAACTTCCAGCACAGGGTAGCAACAGCAAAAGGGCAAAGAGGACCCAGTGGGAGGATAATCCTGGGGGATAATCCTTCATGGAGCATCACAGGGACTGTGGATGCTGCACTTTGCACCAACCACAACCGTCCTTTCTTRAGGAAAAATGCACCTGCATACACAGCTCTGTGGGCATTACAGGGACTAACAGATATACAGGAAGGAAAAGTGATTGCTTTCATCCTGGCTGTCTCCACTCCATCTTCCCATTCAATGCCCTGTTTCTRTTATGCTTTGTTGTTGATCTTTTTCCCCAAATCCCCAAAATGCYACCTTATGRAGTGAAAACCAGACMACAGATTAATCATGACCCTCCTGGATGTAGAATGGAAACATGCAGTCCAAAGAGCTGATTTTTGTCTTGAAGCTGGGATTTACACAGTGCTTTCTTTACCAGAAGGCTGAGGAGTAGAAATGGGGTTGTATGACATCTCCTGGGTGTTCCACAACTTTCAGCAGTAAATCTGTTTCTCCAGAGGCAGAAAAAGGAAGGAGGCAACAGCTAATTATACTCTGTGGGGCAATTTGCTGTTTTATTTCCTGATGTACTCCCTGACAAGTGGAAAATCACTCTTGGCAAACACAAAACTTACCCTGCTTCCAAAAGGTGCATCTCTAAATTATTAATCAAGAGTACACAGAACCGCGAAAGGTGGAATATTGAACAAAGGCTCAATTGACACYCTGGAGGTTGAGGAAGATATGGATGAGTCCCCTCTAATTTATTTATTCCTTTTCTGTTCTGTTATCCTGATATGCTGCTTCCWGTTACCAGTGCACCCCGCACTGTATGGTATTACGTGATTTTGTTTTCAGATTGTTGCAGATAAAGTTACTTCATTATTAATATATATGCACTGTGCATATCCATAAATATTGAATATATACGTGTGTGTAAACCTACTGGAAGTGTTAATAGTTAAGATAAACGAAGTCCATTATTGCAATGAGTGACTATTTCTATGACCCTATTTGCAATAAAAGCAGATTCAATGATATGAGAAAATTGCTAGGTTTCAGAATAATTGAACCAGGCCAGACAAATCCCCACAAAGGCATCATTTACAAAGTACTTTGCTTGTCTAAAATATTTATTCCTGCAGAAGGAAATGGAAAAAGAGTTCATATGGTTACACGGCTATCCTCTGAGTGTAAAATTGTTTTATCATGTTATGTTTATTTCCTAGACATCTTCCACTGGGGTATTGCAGAAAAAATACTGGCTGTGCAGTTAATTCCTTTGTGTGGACTGTTCRTATTTATTCTCTGGGAAGTCAATCACATTTTGTTCAGGCTTGTTTTGTTTTTCTGCTGAGCAAACACTTAAGCAGCCCCTCTCTTGTAAAAACTTATTTGCATATACAATGTGCACCATTCAATGTCAGTGTTACACTGAGAGTTAAAATGTTTTTGCTTTCCCTCCATGTACCTTGGGAAGTAGTGGAATTCTTGATGAAAATATTGGTGTTGCTCTTTAAAACTGCAGTATGTTGTTCATGTTTAAGGACTACATCAGTATTATAGATAATTTTAGTTTGTCTTGTATTGAAAGCCTGGATAGATTTTTACTATTAAATGTTCACAACAAAATGCTTCCAAGCAATCTACAGACAAAGAATTACTCCCAGCAATTATCCACTGAATAAATCTGAATAATGAATACATCCACAAAAGTCACTATCTATTTGTGAACAATTAGCTGAAAAAAATGGAGGTGACACTCACAAGCTAAATAATTCATTTATGAATTATTTGTTCAGCTTTGTTTCTGACATATGTTGCATGAAATAAGATCAAAGCTTAGATGAAAAATTACTTCAAAAAGAAGGGCAATATTAAAGAAAATTCTTCCAGCTTCTAAYGCAGAAATCATCCCACTATTGTAACTATTATTTATTACCAGTGATTTCAGAGGCTAGAGAAGTTATTTTCCTGGATTCTTTTACTTTAAGCATTAAGCTGTGTTTTATTCCTAACATATATMCAATTTTAGGTTGTTAAACCACAATCAAAAGAACTCAGTAAAAATGGAGCTGTCCCTGTTATGAGATTTGAACTCCTGACATCTTTATCCACTGGAGTGCCCAGGTAACTACTAATTATTCAAGCATTTACAACCATTACTATCAATATAATTAACACATCTTGAGATAAAAGTGAGAATGTCACTATGAAATTATCATTCCTGGCATTTAAATAGCAATCTTTCATGAAAACATTTATAAGTTACCCAATCATTTTTCAAACAAATGAACAAAAATTTGTCTACATTTTAGGGGAATCTAGAACTGAAAAGAAATGGTTTCTGGCATCAGAAGTTATAAATGTTGTCTCCATATGTCCATTTCTTGAAAACAACAAATCCCATCAACTTCTGCTGGGATTTTTTTTTTTCTGAGAAATTACTAAAATTAAAATCTTTGACCAATTACGTGGAAAACTGTGAGACCTTTCTTTAAACAAATCCAGATTCAGGGAAAAAGAGGSGAACAATCTTTTTTGTTCAGTTCTAAAAGCTGACAAACTCATTGCCATGCTCTGCAGGAGTGAGAGGCTGCCCAACACCCTCTTACATGCCTTGCTGGGTGACAAAAGTGAAAATAAATGAGACAATTTCCATAGAGGAAATCAAAGCTAGATGAGGACTAGAATTTGATTTCCCTCTTCCCACCTCCAACAGTTTTGCTGGCCAAAACAGGCAGGMAAAATCCTTCTCACATTAATTATTAGTAAGTAATTATCACAGTAGGAGGAAGAAGGAGCCAGAGAAGTCAAGGGCTATGGTTTGACAGGTTTTGCCTTCTTTCTGTCTAGGATTTATTATGAACAAAATTTTGAAGAATGTCTTTTCCCCACCAAAAGCCATCCTAGAAATTCAGAAATAACTTCACTTGCAGAACACTCCAGAGAAGGAATTTTGAGAGCATTTCACAAGGTCTGCAGCTGTGAGCTGGTTTCAGTATGAGGAAAAGCCCTCCATCACCCCAATGCACAGGAAAGAGAAGGTAAGTTAACTCTCTCCAGGGGGCTTTGGTGCATTCAGTGCTTTGAGAGCCCTGGAGCAGCAAAATCTCTTCCTCCCCACATGGATATGTCACTAAGGGCAGGCTTGAGGACAGCAGACCCATGCAGAGGCTGGGCTGCAGGAGGGCAGCAAGTCTTGAGGGGTCTGCTGATCCCACATCAGCCACAAAGCCTCCTCTGCTGCTCCAGCCCCATTTCTTCTGGGGAAGGATCCCAACCCTTTCCATCTGCTCACCCATTCCCCACATCCCTGGAAGGAAGGTCAAAGCAGAGAAGCCCATGGAGCAGCTGTGCCCTCTGCTTCCCAGTGCCAGTRAGAGCATCTTGCAATGCTCCCTGCACTGCAGAACAAGGGCCAGTCTGAGCATRCCATGGAGAATCCATCCATGGTGCAGTAAATAAATAGCTCCAGGAAAAGAACAAAKAAAAAAAAGCACAGATTTGTGCTTGCAGGGACAGTAAACCTGGATATTTCAGCAGTTGTGGCAGATATTTCTGACTAAAAATTGTACATTTGATGATGCTCAGTCTTCAGCATCTGACAAGGGGCTTTTAAAGCCTCTTGAACAGTAAATCACCTCTCTTTCTATCAATAATCTTATAATATCAGTAGAAATGTCAAATGTTTAAATCCCACTTTATTACTATAATAATGGACTTAATTTGTAAAACATATAAAGTGAGGCCATAACTGTTCTGGAGGGAGATATCTGTCATTCCTCTATATTTATATAATGGCTTTACCCACATATTTTGAATGGAAGAAGGATTAAAAGAAATCCCACTTGCAGTATTTCTGTGATTGGGAATGGATTYTGGAAAGGAAACCAGCATGATCACAGAAATGCAGCAATTATTATTTTTGAAAAACCACCCCCAACTTCACATTCGTGCAAAATAAATCCGTAGGTGTTCATCTGTGACTTGCTCCATTCAGGCCCATTCCCTGCTGCCAAAAAAGCCTTGCTTCCAGCTGCACAATCAKTATTATCACTATGTGCTATTTTTGGCTCCTGAGTGCATCTCGTGTAGCGTCACCCTTCCCACGCCAGCCCTGGTATGAAATGCAGAAACTCTTCTTTCCACTCCTCTGTGCTCCCTTGCCGCTCCCACCGCGCGGCGCCGGCTCCGTCCTCGCTGCGGAGGAGGCTCTGGACACAGCTTTTCCCTGGTCCTTCTCCTTTTCCTGGGCAAGAGGCTTTCCATCCAAAGCTTCACGTGGGAGGCTCCATGTTGGCATCCAGAGTACATGTCCCAGATATGCCCAGCCTCACTTTCTGGTCATAGTGCTGAGGAGCCACCGGTAAGTGATCTTCTGATGGGAGATGGAGTCCCTGTGCTCAAATGGGTTGTTTTTAGGGWCATACCATTTCCAAGCTATCACTTTGGTAGGTTTCCAGCTCTTGTCACAATACCAGTCTGAGTGCAGAGTGCTTTGTTTGTGCTGACACTGTAGCTTTGATCTCTGTAAGTTATTCAAGTCTGGTAAATATCGTAAAAATCACTTCCTTTTTAAGGGTTTCCTTGTCTAGGTGCTATCCACCCAGTGAGCTGTTTAGCATTTTTGTCTTCTGATGTGATGTCACTGCTACATATTTGGAAAAGCTCACATGGACAACAGCTGCATTTGGAGTTTTAAATCCCTTCAGCTCTAAGGTTCCRTTTGTGCCACAGGAGAAGCCCTCACAATGAAAGTTACAACCACCTCTAGCCTGAGCTAGGCTGTGTCTCCCTAAACCTGTTTCATTTTACAGAGATTAATCAAATATTCATTATGTAAGTGTGTGTGTGTGTCTGTCACAGAGTGATTGGGGTACTCACCTGGCAGATGAGAGACCCTGTTCCCAGTGACCGCCCCAATGAATATTTAAGCATTACACATTAAGTATTCATTGGAGCAAGGATAGGGGCAGACTTCTGCCACCCCCAAGGGAGCACCCAAACACCAGGCTGTAAAGTCATTCTTTCCTTCTTTAGCTCAATGAATATTTAATTATTCAAGGCCAAACAAGACAGCTTCAATGGCAGAGACTGAGATTCCCTGCTCTGTGTACACACCATAGCTCCAATGATGAGGGTGTGTATGTAAAAGATGTGGCTTTGTGTTTCCTTGAGCTTGGAAAGGAGTTAAATTCAGGTTTCCCCCACCCTGAATGGGGCTTCCAGGTTCTTAGCTGCTGAATGAAAAACACAGACCTCCAACACACAGTGTTCACATCCATGAGACAGAGGTGGTGTGACCCCAAGATCAGAGACAGCATCCTTATCAGTGATGAGATTGGTTTTACGAATCTCTCAGGAGAAGGAATCAAAGCTGAAGGCATTCCCCACCCCATGGTAGTTTCTGCTGCCTATGTAATATGCCTTTCTGGGATTATCCAGAATGTGATGAATAAGAAAACTTATTTATCCCCTTTCCTCTGGGGTCTGGCACCCCCAGAYTGTAGTTAATGGGAATTAATCCTGCTTCTCCAGTCCCAGGAGTGGATGTGTGAAACATGTGGGAAAGCATCCAAAGAGAAAAGGCAAGGCAAAGCAAGGGTATTTGGGTCTAAAAAGGGACAAAAGTAGATAATTGAGGAGTAGAAAGATCAAAGCAAGGAGAAAAATTGGAGTAAGGAAAAGGCAATCACTGAGTGGGAAAATAAGCAATGAGGAATAAAAGGGCAGGAACAGTGACCAGAAGAAATAAGATCTTTCCATAGCAGAGGAACAAAGGGAAGAGGGAGAAAGGGCTAGAGAAGATTACTTCAATCCTAAAAATAAAATGTGAAGAATCAAAATGGGAAGAATCTCTATCCTTCACTCAGATCTTTGAAAAGTAGAAAATTTGACATCTGCTCTGCACTTCCAGAGGATAGTGGGTGTCTCTGAACCAAGATGCTTTGGRTTCACTTTGGGCAGTCGACCATGGGAGCATTCCTATGCAGAACAGTGACTTATTACTGTTAYTGCAGCTCAGTCTCTTGCAATTTCAAAGAATCCACAGCATTGTGATTCTGCTGTCAAAGACTAAATGTGGTTTCCAAGCAAAAAACAGAGCAACAGCATGGCTGTGATATCGAAGTGCAAATAAATTACCATCTTGTCCCCATCAGGAGAGTGTCCAAACCCAAGTCAGCAGCACAGTCCCAGTTGTTGTCCCAGCACTGCATTCTGAACAGAACTGCTTAGATCAGAACATTTCAGAGGTGCTCCAAATGATACGGTTCATGTATTTCATATCACATTTATGTGCCTCTAGCCCAAGGCTGTTGAGCAGCCACCTTCAGCAAACATTTGCTACAATTTAGAGAAATKCTTTCTGAACACTTTGCTGTCCATTGCTTTAACTCTCCTTTTCCCTGAGAATACAGCTTCAGAACACTGCAGATCCATGGCAATGTAGAAATATCCCTATTGTCTTGTTGTAAATATTACATGGTGGGACTATGTCCAAGCACATGTGTTACATATCCTTCAAGGGACATGGTAACCCATCCACCAAAGCTCAGAGCACCCAAATACATTAACTCTCGTTGAATGGCCACATGTTTTGTGTTTTCATCAAATCTTTAGACAGATGAYTGTAGCTATCCTCCTTCCATACTGAGGAAAAGGCCACCTGTGGACCAAGCTGTGGGGGAAAAGCGGAAAGCAGAGAGAAGGGTYCGATTTCGTGAGCCAGAAGAAGTCATTGAACATGGTAGGCTCAAGTTACCGGCAATTTTGGCATGACCTTTCTAGCTTTTAACATCCACTCTGTCTGTCCACATCAGCTTCCCCCTCTGATAACGTGGTTTGTGATTTTCAGCTCAGCATGGAGCAGAGGGTGGATATTTTTTGCTCTGTGCTCTGCAGAACTGCATCTGGTCCATTTGCCTGCCTGCTCTGGGAGGAGACAGGCTCCTGCACCACCCTCAGCTGTTGTCACTGTGACCTTCCCAGTCAGCCCCACAGGGATCACTGTAGACCACAGGCTGAGCCCCAGAGCTCCCCAAGAACAACGTTTCCACTCAGACCAAATTTAAAAATAATTATGTCACTGTGGGTAGCTAGGATGCCACAGAATACAATAGCAGAAATCTGAGCCTGGCAGCCAGGATGAAATAACTTCTGCCAACGAAGGCACCCAAGGACTGTCACAGCTGAAAAAACACTGGCCTTTTCATTCGTGAGCCAAAATATTGCAGGTAGGTCACCTTCAGCAGAGGTCTGGCACAAGGATCCAGTTTGCACTTCTGCATGTGCCATATGTAATACCAGATTAGAATCTGTGTTACCTTCTGACTTTCCCAAACTGACCCAGTCAAGAAAATTCTATTTATTGGTAGAGAACTAAAATTGTGTGGGTGTGATGCACCAGTTAGTAAAAACACATTGACAGAATGGTGAAATTTCAATATCAGCAGTTTGGACTGCTGCAGCTACTGAAAATAAGGCCTGGCAAATGTGTCTGTAAACAGAACTCTCATTGGATTGGCAATACATTGGGATGCCTCCTGATGCAGGAGGGGGAAGCTGTTTCTTGAAAAGCTTGTTGACATGGCCTGGGCTTTTTCCCATCAAAACTGAACTCCTGGAAAGGCTCAGTGAGTCAGCCCTAAATTCCTCAAGGCTCATCTGACTGCTCAGAGCASGATTTTGATGGGAGTTAATAACTCCCTCTGGCTCATGCCAGAGTCCATGTCCCACACCAGCACTGGTAATCCTGCAGCCAGTCCAGCCTGTGGCTCTGACTTCAGCAAAGCCATGCTGGAGCTCTTGCAKGGAGCTGCCAGGATGGAGCTGACTCTGACTCTTTTCCATGAAGATGAGAGAAAGGTTCCAGCCCAYAATCAGTATTCTGCAAACAGTCTGTGATTTAGAGTATTTGCTGTTTGTCTACACAAGATTATTAACATTAAGGCTGGTAAGATGAAGCTTTCTGGCACCACTGAAATTTTTCCATTCTGTGGACTTTTCATCCTGGATTGTGTCTGGGCCCTGGCTGCCAGGCAGACGCATTTTCGGGATATTGTTGATAAAAGTTAGTCTGACAGTGCTTTCTTAATTGTCATTCTTTCAGCCTGCTGGTTTAGATCCTTTCCTTTCTAGGAACTCTGTGGAATGGGGACTGTTTTTAGCAGAGYTGTTTCCTGACCTCACTGCAAATGCAGTAATCCTGCCTCTCAATTCTCCATCCAATAACTTTTCCTCATTTTCATGAAGTGCACCTGCATCTGCATGTTTGCATGGAGTGGACAGGTCTTCACCCAGAGCCAAAAGTGATGTAAGAGGTTGCTCAGCATCTCTAAGGTGACAGGCAATTTCAGAGGCACTGCTTGGTTCTGGCTTTCTTGCTCTCCTGCTGCCAAGAGACCTTTCCAGGCATGTAAGAACATTTTCATTCTGTTTTCTAGTCATTTCCTGCTGTGACTACGTAGTGGGTAAGTTGAATTTTTCACATTACAACTGTGAGCCATCCACAGCGTTAACCTGAGTTTGCTTTTGCAGCTGGTGGGATGCACTGTGCAAACACACCCTTGTGTACACACAGCGTTCTGTGCTGTCAGTGGTTGTTGCTTTTTCTTCTMAGCAAAAGCAGTGCGAGGTGCTGATGAGGTCTGGTGCAATTTTAAACAAGATGTCTGCTRAGATGAATAGTGGAAACAAAAATTAAATCCCTGAAGCTATTTTTAATTTAAATATAATTAATATATTTTATGGCAATAAAATAGGTACAGGTTTTTCACTAAGATATGCAAGGAAAGCACCCCAAGCAAAACAATGRTTCTCCCTGCTGAGTTTTGTATGGGAGGAAGAGACATATTCATTTATATGCTGACAGCAGGGTAGAAATAATAAAAAATAATCTGGATGGGGGTTTTTTGTTCTTTTGTTTTTTTTTTTCTGAGCCCCACCAGCCTCACAGACCCTCAAGCAAATGTGTGTATCTGTATGTTCTGATGATGGTGATCATTTCCAGAGGCTGTGGCTGACATTGAGCCCCTGCTGTAGACAGTACAGTGAAGGAAGAGGGGCACATAAACACATGTACATATACACACAGACCCATGTGATGGGAGGCCAAAACAGACAGATGTGTCCATATCCCTCAGCTGTTGCTATTGTCCAGGAAGAGGGGCTGTATGTTTATTACAGTAGAAGCATCAGCAAGGGCAGTTATTGTGCTAGAAACAAGGTGCTATAGCCAGAAAAGAGCCAGGTGTAAAAGCAAAGRTCAGACATTCTTCAGGGGGCGGTGGAAATGTGTATSCAAGGCAGGAACTGAAACAAAATCYCCTGCATCCAGGTCCAGTGCTTCTCTCAGATGAGCTACCATGAGACTGGGCACGTCTGTGGCTGAGTGTGCTTTWCCAGCRAGCAATTTAAGAAACAAATTTAAGCATTGAATTTCTAATTGTAATCTAGAAAAGCAAACATAAATTTCAGCACATAACCATAGTGATGGCGTTGTGAGCTTAGCTCATCACTATTTTGCAGGTGGAATTATTCTTCCACTTTATTTTTCTTCTGCTCATGGCTTGAACATATTTCCTAATTGATTGAATATAAGGAAAGCCCAGTTTTACATTTGAGATCACCCAAAAATTTAACATGGAAGGCTGAAACAGGTTACAAGCATTTCATATGAAAGGGTTGATGTGAAAAGCTGTTCAGCTTCCACAGGAAGGTTTCTCTGTTCCCTTGTGTGACCATCAGCCAAGACCCATGCTGGGAAAGGCAGGTGGGCACCCAGTCCAGGGCTGTAGCCTGTGGTGTGGGAAATCTCACAAGGGAAACACCAACTCCCAGCTCACAAATCTCTGCAAAAGCAGAAAGTGGTGAGCAATTCCCTGACTAAACACCTTCTTATCAACCATTCCTAGAATAATGCCAAATAAACAAATTTATAAAATCTGAAGTCTGCACATGGATAATTTGCAAACAGAAAGAAGGGCTAAATTCAAATGAATAAATTACTTGCTGCAAATAATTCACTCAGATCCATTATGGGACATTGATTTGGTTTCTGGTTAGCTATAAAATGACTGCCTATTAACATTTTACCTTTTCCCCATACACTTTTTGATACATTATTATGTGTTTCTGGCTTGGTTTTATGACTTYTACCTTCCTCTCTGTACATCTGTATGACAGTTTAATTGACTGGTGTGTATTCCAGGGCTCRGAGTGGAAGCTAATTTAAATATGTTACAGCTAATGTTGGCCCTTTACCCATAATAATACACTCCACATTTTTATCTCCTTATTGATTRTGTGCATATGGCAGGAAAATAGCTGCACACTGTGGGTTTCATTCAGGCATGAATTTGGCTTTACACTGCATGTTTAATACTGGAAGTGCTTTATGAAACAGTGCAATGGCACTGACAGAACAACCAGATCTGAATCAGGCTGGATCCCTGAGGCCCAGGGATGGAAACACTCAGGCAAGGGCTGGACAGAGCTGTCAGCAAGCTGGATGCAGCCCTCTGCTTTCCACACGTGTGCTCTGCCTGACCTGTGGCACTTCAAACATATTGAACTATATTTTGAAGGCAAGAAAAATGTTTGCAGCATCCTCCTGCCGAAAAGCAAATGCAGAGGATATTCTGGTGTAATAAGCACATGTAGCACTCAGAGAGTGGTTAAAACTTACAGAGCTTTCTGAACATGCCTCTTGATCAATGGAGCCATGTTTAGGTTCTTTCCATAGCTAGCAGGAGTCCCAAATAAGCTGAGTGATCAGGGGAAAGGACAGAAATCTATAGCACCTCTCTTTCATGGAGCATTTGTGAACATTAAACAATTAGAYCAAGTAGCTTCATGTTCTCCCAGTATTCAACTTAACATTCAGGGTAAAGGTATAAAAAATAATTGCTGTAGGGGAAGTTGAGATCATGCATTAGCTATGCTAATCCTGTTCTTATTGTATATAATTAAACTCTTTAAATGCTCCATTAGATGATATCTTTTATACTCACCACCCTCCATCAGGAAGTGTGACTCACTATCACTTAACTGATGCCTACRGAAGTGCTCACCACCAGAGCCCTGTGTACCCTGCTGTTCCCAGAAAACTGGGACAAAGGCATCAGCAGAAGATCAAATTTGGGAAGTGTTTAAGATGACACTATAATAATGCTGCTTTCTCCTTCTCTCTCTTCATCACCGTTGAGCAGATGACAGGTCATCATCTGGATTGCCTGTGCTCCTGTGGCTCTCATTTTGTGCAGTGCTGATCCTGGCTGTGAGTCTCTACTACACCAGCATGAAGCAAGATGTCAAAGTCCTGGAGGAATTTCAATCCCGACTTGTTATCGTCTTTCTTCATATACGGCACGTTGCTCAGAGATGCTGGACTTGGTTCATGAGGCAATAGCAGCGTCCTGCAGCCTGACACTGCTCARAAACATCAGTGCAAAGCTCCCAGTCCACTGCAGCCACTGCAAGGAACAYATGAGCAGCCACCTCAAAGAGCAAGAAAATCACCCCTACTGGGCACCCCCCAGCAAACATTTGTTTTCCTTTTTCCTTCTTGGTCGTTTTTTCTGGTTTTTTTTTCACGTCAATGAACATTCATGCTAATGCCTTGACGTCCCACCAAACTCATGCTCCATCACCCTGAGCAGCAAACAAGTATCTGGATTTTGTCCTCCTGCTGATATGAGGAGCAGAATTAGGGAGAAATACATTGATCTGGGCAGGCAGCAGAAAGCTCTGATGAAAACCCTCGTGAGTCTCAGGTCAAGGCTTTAGAYACCAAACTATCTTTCTGCTCAAGTCTCCCAAGAGCTATTCTGCAAAAGTTAAAATAAAGCTGAGCTATTGCACAGACACTGCTCTGGTGGCCAAAGGCTTGGAAAGCTGCTATATTTATACACCTGAAATGATTATTAGTGAAACCTCAGCAAATGGCTTTCTTGTTTCCCTTCATGATTTTTTTTCCTTCATGGGCAAAAGCTGTTTCTTAATGCTTCACTTCACTCCCAGGTGTGAAAAAGATCACAGAAACTCATTTTAACAGAAAATAGTTTATTTGCCTAACACAATAAGCAGCAGCATTGAAACCCAGGTTAATCATCAAATCAGTAGTTTAATCTCCTGGGTCTGATTCAGAACATAAACCCCACAAGCTGACACACAAGATTTATGATAGTGCTTGTATTCAGACAGAGGTTATGACTGGGTGTTCAAGGCCTTATATCATGGTAATATGGACTGTTTCTGAAGGGATGCAAAACACCTTTATCACKCCATTGTCCCATCATACACCATGTATTTCTCTGAAAAAAATCATGTGAAACGGTGCTCTGGGTATCTGAGAAGTGGAACAAATGACTGCAGTTCATGAGCTTCAAAGAACCAGCACAACCAGCTTTTTAGACCTTAGATTCTGCTCAGGTAGCATCTGATGTGTGCTTGGGGTTATTTTGTATGGTAAGATTGATATCAGAACCCGTAAGAGCTGAAGTAAAAGGAAAAGAAAAAGGGGGG